TTTACATATTTCCCCCTTAAATTGACCTACACTGACTACACAATACAAATACGAACTATCGATCCTCAATGCGGGGCTTGGTCCATGTTCTAGAACTTTCCGCACACATGTAACAATATAACCTACAAAAATGATGCCTCATGAAACTTTTACACATTTGCCCCTTAAATGGACCTACACGATGCAAATGCCAACTAATCAAGCCTCAATGTGAGGCCAGGTCCAAGCTCTAGAATTATCTACATATTCACAACTAACAATACAACCTATAAAACACGTGCCTCGCGGATCTTTTACACGTTTTCCCCTTAAGTGGACCATGATGTAAATACAAACTAATCGAGCCTGAATGTGAGACCATCCGCACACATAGTTAATAATACAACCTTCTACAAAACAAGAAACTCATAAATTGTTTACGCATTTACCCCTTAAATGAACTTGTGATGCAAATACGACAAAATCGAGCCTCAATGTGGGCCCCATTCCCAAGCTCTAGAAACTTCCTCACAAAGCTAACAATACAACCTATAAATCAAACACCATCCTTCAATAAAAAAATACCCTCTATATATCTCTCTCGTTAACATTCAGTAAACTATATGTACATATATTAGAATAGCTACAGACATGGAGGTGGCATCAGAGTTAATTCCATCTCTTGAAGGGCTAGCCCCAATTGAAGCCAGATCAATGATTTTTATTCATATTCTTCGATTCGCCATCTCTATTCTGCCATTAGAAGATGTACGTAATATTGTGACAGTGGTGGACACAACGAACAACTCAATCCCCTTCTTCGAAGGTAATCCTATCAATGCAGAACCTATTTTGGAAGGGTTATCACCTGCATCAACCGCTTCCATTGAAGCGATACCAATGGTTAAGGTTTTAGGTGAAGGGATTGATTGCTCTATTTGTTTGTCGAATTTCGAAACTGGCAAGGAAGCTAAGGAGATGCCTTGTAAACACCATTTTCATTCTATCTGTATTGACAAGTGGTTGGGGATCAATGGATCGTGTCCGATTTGTAGGTATAAGATGCCAGTGGACGAACAATGTGAGAAGAAAGATGAAGAAAACGGTGAAGATGAAAGAGGTGATGATGGCAGCAGTGATATGAGCGAAGATAGAGTGATGCTTGTTTTTCATGTTATCATTACACCAGTAACTACACACCAGCTAACAATATCGATAATAGGAATGCATAGAAATTCTACTGATATGTTGATGGAAGTTAGAATGCATAGAGATTCTGAGGTATCCGAATCTAGAGGTGGTGATGTATTCGAAGCTAGAAACGGCGATGTATCTGAAGCTGGTGAAAATGGCGATGTATCTGAAGCTGGAAATGGTGATGTATCTGGAAATGGCGATGAATTCAAAGCTAGAGATGGAGATGTATCCAAAGCTGGAGATGGCAGAGATGGCAGATATGGCGATGCATCCGAAGCTAGAGATGGCGGAGATGGCGATGTATCCGAAGCTAGAGATGGCGGAGATGACGGTGAATCTGAAGCTCAAGATGTGGTCATTGATGACAATTAATTTGGTTATTTTCCTTGTTTATTTTCGGTGTCTTCTGCTTAACTAAAATATAAAAAGTTATTTGTACAAAATATCGGGCTTAACTTAATTATAAAAAGTTGTTTGTACAAAATATCCCGCAATTTTCACTAAGATGATGACAAGTATTTTGAGATGACCTAGCTCAACATATGGTCATTGACAGCAAACAATTTGTTTGTTTATGTATTTGCTTTGGGCATCTTCTAATTTCATAAAACCAAAGTATTCAGATTTTCCTAGATCGAGTCTATTAGAAGTTGACACCAATAAAGTGAAAGTTCATGTGGTCAAACAAATGAGCTGCAATCAAGATTAAATGCTTTGAATCAACTTCTCTTTAGCTAAGCTATTCATAATTTGGTTAGCCACTCCTTATAAAGTGATATGATTCATGGATGTTATGACAATTGTGACAGTGAGTTCACCAGAACCTCTTTTGACAAGCATATATGTTAAACATCATTAAACTTTAAACTCCAACAAATGTCAACATTATCTCTGGTTAATCCAGATATGTTAGCCTTACTAGTATAAGTAAGGAAACTTCTATCTCTATATTGATTGTGATGAGTGCATTGACAAATTGAATTATCAATTGCTTTACTTAATTTTTAAAAAAAAAATTGATGTTGCATCTTTTCCCCCAATTTTTCTTTGGTCTTCATATTTACAAGACATGTATTTTTCAATATCTCCAAGTTGACCATGATTAGAGTTATGTGTAGTAGAAAGTTGTGTATCCCATTGAGAGGTTTCATCCTCCATCAATTCTACAAAATGCATTGATTCCTTACATTTACACGTAGTTAACACTTGTTTACCAAATTTAGTCAGATTTTCATTAGAAGGTAATTTCTTTTTTTCAACAATCTCCAAGAGAAGAATGATGTATTAAATGAAATTTTGTTATTCTACATATGGTTTATAAAGTTCATTCTAGTGTAGGGAATCATGATGATTTGTCACACACTCTTATTAAAATAAATACTGCTCATAGAGTGTTTTCAAACGTCTTTTCTTATGTTCACTTAATTGATGACATTAATATATTCAATTTCTTCGTCTTTCTACTCTTTCCTTCAATGAAGTCACTAATTTGATACTCTTCAACTTCCTCCAATTACAAGATTGTCCATCTCCCTTTTTCCTAAACACTTGTTCCTAGGCACGTGTGTTGCACGTATAGCCCATGTTATTTGTATAAATATTTTAAGATAATACATACTACTATACAAGAACTGCCATATGCAAAGTCCAATATCCATATATATATCGATCGATTCCAAACTTGTTCAAGGTTCCTCCTTCAAGAAATAATTGTGTTGTAGGCAAAACTCTTCCTCCTGATTTAGGATATCAGCGTCCTAAATCATATAATATAAAATTGATTTTTAATATAAAAACTTACTCATAATATCATATAATCTCCAGTAACTATGACAATTCATATATTCCTCAATAAATAAGAAATAAGTAAAAAAAAAAAAAGAGATAATTGAATGAATCGAAATTCTTATCGGTAAATATCCTGAAACAAAATCACTCCTTTTCCTTAACAAATGTAAAATAATTCACAAATGACAATACTGCAGTAAGTTTTTCTCTGTTATTTTATAAAAAAAATTAATTAAAAATCCAACGAGATGAAAGACATTTAGTTTGTGAAATTTTACTGTGTTTTCAAGATATTCAAGTTCTTTTGGTGGTGAGTTTGATGTTTTTTTACTATGTATATAATGTAAATAATTTTTAATTTTTGCTCTGTTATTTGTTCTTAAAAGATTTTTCTTATTTCTATTTTCTAGTACACAAGGAAAGTAAGAATTCATAAGGTGTGCAACAAGTAATATTAAAGTTTACTACTGATACAAAATTGTGGCTGCTTAATAATCAGTTTCACAAAAAGAAATCCTATTTTATTGTCAAATGACTAAATTCGAAAGATGTTTTCCCAACAACATTAATTCCCAGTATGACCTCACAAATAAAGTGTTACAGAGAAGTTGTTTCCGATAAATCTCAGGTAGAAAAAAAATGTACAAGATGGATATTTTAGGGGGATTCTCTCTCCAAATCTTCATATGGTACAATTTCTTTGCCAGAAGAATCAGCTACAACCTGATCATCATTATTTTGAGTTGTAGTGGTCATCTCTTGAACTGGAGGTGGATCTACAAGTGTTGTTGTTGGATTATCATTACATGATAAATGAAGCTTCATCTCTCTGTGTTCTTGACACATTGCACACCAATGTAAACAACAATGTACCATACATGGATCACATGGTGAATCCTGATTTTAAGAGAAGGAAAAAGGCGAGTTAATCTAATCAAGCAAGTAATTGGCAAACATGGACAATGACGAGCATGTTAAAGACTTGATACTCCATTTCCTACTAATCATACTTTAATGCAACCTGAATCTGAAAATGTTGAACTTGGTGAAGAAGTTGACCGGACTGGTCTAATGACGAAATACCAAGATAATATGGTGTACATTAGAACAACAAGAGACGGTATAGGGAAGGCATTCCTAAACTCTATCACTTGTATCAAATCTTTTGGGCATTGTTCCTATCGTTAATTATTATGTTGCTTATTCTCATTTATTCAAAACTTATCAAGCATGTATGAGCTCTTTTAAGTCATTCTAGAGCCAAGATCTTTTCAGAAGGCCTCACAAAGTAAATGATAGGTAGATTTAATGCAAGTGAAGATTACTGCACTTGAGAAAAAACTTAAATGCAGGATATAGTCGGAGTTCACATGACCATTCATTGTTTACTAAACAACATGGTTAGGACATTGCGCTGTTGTTAATCTATGTTGATGATGTCCTTCTTACAGGTAGCAAGTTTTCTCTTATTCTTGATACTAAGCAGTATTTGGATATCCTATTTTATGTGAAGAATTTGGGAGCTAAGACTGCCTTTACATTTTCGGAGGCCAATGTTATAATGACTACTTTAGATTATTGACAAGACAGATGATCCTTTATTTGATGATATTTTCAGCTGACAAAGTCTTGTTGGTATGCTATTTATTTGATCATTACTAGGCCAAACATAAGCCAGTTCATGAAACACCCTAAGCACTTACATTGGAATGTTGCCTTGAGTGTAGTGAGATATGCCAAAAGCTTATCAAGTTTGGGCATTTTTACGAGGACATGACCTATAATATTTGAGTAGGGTTGCTTATCATGACTTTGATTGGGCTGCTTGTCCTAATACTAGAAGATCATTCACACATTCCATGATTCAATTGTGAACTTCTATGATTTTCTGGATGTCAAAGAAGCAACACATTGTAATTCAAATCTTAAATGAGATAGAATCATTTTTTGCAGAAATCTTCTGGTTGGTAGGTTTACTAAGGAACTCATTATCATAATTACGATTCATATTTATATCTTTTGTGATAGCAAGGTTGCTATGCGGATTGCTGCAAATTTGTGAATGTACCAAACACATTGAAATCGATCATCACTTCATCCGTGATAATCTCAATGGTCGCCGACTTCAATTTTACTTTGCAAAGAATTGAAAAAACAGAAGTTGAGTAGTTCACCTTAAGATGATATTTTCTTTGCAACATTTGTCTGGCCATGCCAGTATAGATACCACAAACCCACCAAGAGAAGAGGAGACCTTCAGTAATAAGGCATGCAGTATCAGGATCAATGCCATGAAATGCTGCAGTAAGTGCAGCAAGAGCAATCCCACCTTCAATGCACACTAAATGACCAACACAAGCTCCTCTGCTTGAAATTTCATCATTCAAACTCTCCATGTGTCGTCCAAACAAAACACAAGGGCAAAATAGCCCAACCAAACCTAAAAATCAAACATCAAAAAGGGCAAAGAATATTGAAGTTTTTTATCTTAAAAATGTCATGAGATGCTTACAACTATCAACATCTTCTGTACACCCAAATATTCCAGTTGCCCAATCTTCATCAGCAGGAGGTTCATATGATGGAGGTAGATTTTGCCCACAATGTTCACATTTAGCACATGATTGCTGTCAAATAATATAATAAAAGACATTTAATTATTTTTGTTTTATTGATTACATAAGTAAATAAACCAAGACATATATTCTATATAACCTGATCATGAGATGGTGTTTAATTTTATTTTATTTTCAAAATATGCTTCTAATTGTTCTAACTCCACTCTTTAACTGATAATTATTATACATCTTATTAGGAGCTATTTATGAGAATTTAAAAATAATAACTCCCTCTATTCTTAAAGGAATTAATGTTATTAGTGATTAACAATTTCCTTATTATGATCTTATTGAGGGAATTAAACTCATATATATATATGGCAATGCAAATTCTTCATTCACCTTTTAGATGAGTTGTTCTTTATTTGGTCCCCATTTTCTTTTAATGAAGTAAGTAAAAACAAATTGTTCTTTTTTCCATCAATTCACTTGATCAAATAAACATATAGTCGAATAATTTATAATTGACGATGCATGCAATGATAAATCGACAGGGTTAGGATGTGGTTTTTTCCCCCTTGGTTAAAAACCAAGAATACATTATGTTAATACAAACAAAAATGATCAAAATAAAATAAAATTATTAGAATGTGAACATATGATATCATCGATAGTTAAGCAGAATATACTTTTAAATTCGTTCAACTCACACATGCAGGGCAAAGATCAGATCCATTTTCTCTATTACCATTCAAGGCACAAATGGATAGGCTTATTAATTCTCATTGAATATAATTAGAAGAAATGTAATGAAAGATTAAAATAACCTTTTGGACATCAATAGGTTGATTAAGCTCGCCAGGAGTAATATTTTGCAATGAAGATTCTTGATCCTTTGTTAATCGAACATAAGTCCCCGTTGCCATCGTCTTAGACTTATTTGATCATCAATTAATAACAATAATTGAGTTGGTGTAACATATATACCTTCATTAAGGTAATGTTAGTTACAAACAAGTAGATAAGAGAGGAAAAAGGGATAGGGAAATTGTACCGTAAAACTTGGAAGTTTTTTTATTTTAATTGCAAAATACTAATAAATAAGAGAGTACCTAATCAAGAGATATAATTTTGAATCAACTTTTGAAGAATTAATGAAAATATTATACTGCAATTCATGGTTGACATGGTTTTGCGCACCTGACTAACGTGCTAGTGGCATGCCAATTACTATCAAGGAGTTCGATGGAATGTGAGATCGTATGTATCTTCTTAATCAGAAATTTTAGGTCCAAGCCTTTTCATAAAAAATAGTAATAAATTATTGCTTAAATTGTATATATATTTTAAAATATTTGAGTTTAAATCCAAATGCCATACAAAAAAAATATGTAGCACCACTTTTTAACTGTATATACTTGTGTGTTAAATCATATATAGTCCTTTGTATTTTAAGAAAAAAAATTGTAATCATAATACTCTAAAGAACAAAACAATTAGTGGCAATCCTATATAGCCAAGGAGCTAATTCGTTCGGAACTCAATTGATTGCTTTGATAGAGAAGGTAGAGTGTCCTTGGCTCATCATTATAGCACATATATAGGGCTTCAATGCTATAACAACGCTTCACTAATTCGAAACACCCCACTATAAGAATCTAGCTTCGCTGATGCTCGGTTATGTCTTGAACCTTCAGGATGTTTGTTTTCATTCTCAGTAACAAAAACACTTCTCTTTGCCCCTTAACAAAAAGTTTAAGGACAAGAAAAAGATTAATAGTTTTCTTGCTCCCGTTTCCTCATCTGCGCTCCTCAAGCCAACTTTGCTATTTAGTTTCGTCTCGAGGATGAGATAATAGGGGCATACCACTGAATATGTAGGAGTAGTCTCACCCTTTCTGAATCATATCATAGGTTTTTTTTTTTTTGATGACAAAGAAAACCCGCACTCGCTATTCTTTGGGTGCGCCACCGCTCCTATGTAATAGCTCGCAAACAAAACAGGAGAGGTAACTGCACTCAGCAAGTCCAGTGCGACAAGTTCGATCCATAAGGCAAACTCTTTGCTTTCGCTGGCAAAGAATCTCGAACTTGAGCCCAAACCACCGGATCATCTCAAAGGGTTCGTTCCATAGGTTTTTTCTTTAAGAATAAGTGCACCTGTGCACCATGCCATATACAACAGTAATACAAATATCATTTCTAGTATAAACATGGTGCCTTTTGATAGAATTTGTTGGTCAGACCAAAGTAATCATATTTGAGTCGCAGTATGAAAAAAACATTTTACATTTTTGGTGTATTTTATATATAAATTTACGTGTCATATATATATTCAAGTCAGGTATATTATGGACGCAGTTATCTAAAAAAAGTGAATGAAGTTTTCATGAACTTCAATCTGAATGTTCTATTGTTGTTCCTTTTTCTTCATCGTCCTTTCGGGTCAAATTCACACTTATTGGCAAATGAAACTTATGATTTCAACTTCAAACCCACATGTCTAAAGTTGATTCTAACGCGGGCAGTAGCTTAGGTCCCAAATACTCTCGTCACATTTCAAGTTATTATCAATTTCTTGTGAGAATGAAAAGCTTCTGATGAAGCTCAAATTTTGCTGCAATGGATATAATGGATCTCCGCTCAGCTGCATTACAAGTCCTCCAAATGAAACAAAAATGTCTCTGAGCACCAGAAAATCCATTGTTATATTAGTAAAATATTTTGATTGTTAATCGAAAAACCATAAATCGATTAGTCTCAACAACCACAACATAGACAACCCTCAAGCAACATATTTGAAAGTCAAAACTGAAGGAGAATATACATTAAGCAGAAACGGCAAAAAATTGTACTTAGCCCAAAAACAAAAACAGAGAAAAATCAAGTTCAGGAAAGTACATTTAAGAAAATAAGAAGTCAATGTGAGCCAATTCCATATCAAACTCTTTGAAACAAGCAAAGCAGATATTGCTAAGATGTGACAGTATTGCACCAACGATAAGACGAAAACAGGTCAGAAATATATTAAAACTTGTCAGCAAGCGATTTCTTGCTTCCCATGCATGACATATTCGAACTTGTCAGCAAGCGATTTCTTGTTGCCCTGTCATCAAGTTGCAATACAATTAAGTCCCATCTAAAGTTTTAACCCCTCAGCTAGAACAACAATCAGCAGTCAAACAAAAAAGGAAGAAGGAAAACGAAGAAAAAAGAAGGAGGTTTGTCCAAGCATTTGGTCAGTTGTGTTAACCATTTTCTTTGAGCATTAATGTATTATCAAATATAAGAATTAACTTCTTCTCAAGCATGTCGACATCATTTTTTGTATGAGAAATATATGTTTGCACAGGAGAATATATGTCATATTAATTAAGGACTTCCATGAAAGTAGAATCATAGAAACATAATTATGAGCTACAGATTGAAAAAGATGAGGGGTTCTTATGCATTTAACTCTACTTTTAATGTATGTTAAGTATCCAAATATAAAATGCAAACAGGAAGATGAGCAAATACACAAGGCACGGAATCATAACAGCAAATTCTTTGGCATTTTGTGGAATTCAAAGGATGGTGCAGAAAACATTGCACGGACTAAGAGAAAAGACATTCAAAGGAAACTCCAGCTCCACAACAATTTGAAGATGAGAAACATTCGAAAGCAGTCTTAAAGATAATAAATACCACACTTTACAACATTTCCAGACAAAAAACATCAAAAACGACATTTGTCACAAAAGAGACTTGATAACGACATTGAAGGAAATTAACGATTACAAGAATTTTCCTCAGATGACATATTAAAGCATGGAGTGCAACAAAAATGGAGCCATGTAAAGATTCAGGATGGAAAAAGATGAAATCTATTATATTTTAACAATGTGCAGAGAAACTTTTTAAATACAAGTGAAGACCAACAACTCATATTCTATAGGAGGTGTATTCCTAGTGGACTCTTAATAATGAACGTGGAGTACTAAACCTATAAGCAATAAATAACAAACTAACAACTACAACTGATTATGCACTATTACAGGGAAGATGCGCCAATACGCCCCCGCAAGTTGAAGATGAAATCAACAACGTAACCTTAAACTTGGGTAGATGTTTGTGAAAGAGCAGACGAGACAAAGGCTTTGTAAGTGTGTCTGCAAGCTGATCCGCAGCATGTAGATGTTGAACGCGCACCTGGTTCCTCTGCACTTGATCTCTAACAAAGTGAAAATCAACTTCGATGTGCTTCATCCTGCTATGCAAGACAGGATTTTGATAGAGATAGGTGGCACCAACATTATCACTATAGATTAGTGGTGGTTCAGGCAGCTGGACATGTAGTTCTGCAAGAAGTTTTTGAACCCAATTGACTTCAGTAAGAGCAGAAGCGACAGCACGGTACTCTGCCTCAGTAGAAGAATGAGATACAGTACGCTGCTTCTTGGAGGACCAACTAATGGGATTTTGACCAAAATAAAGAATATATCCATAAGTAGAATTCCTATCATTAATGTCACCTGCCCAATCCGCATCAGAATACATAAACAACCCAGGTGATGTGTTGCTCATTATCTGTAACCTGTAATTCTTGGTATGTTGGAGATAGCGCAGAACCTGTTTAACAGAAGACCAATGTGTTTGTGTAGGAGCATGCATAAATTGAGACAACTTATTGACGGCAAAGCTTATGTCTGGTCTGGTAAATGAGGAATACTGAAGCTTACCAACAGCTTGACGATACAAGGTGCCATCCACAAAAGGTGTACCATCCTTAAGGGATAGAAAAGTAGAGGAACTCATGGGTGTGTGAACAGGTTTGCATTCAGACATATTATGGGCAGCGAGAAGATCAAAAACATACTTCGCTTGAGAAAGAATGATTCGAGATTGCGTGCGAAGGACCTCAACACCTAAGAAGTGGTGCAGTTATCCCAGATCTTTGAGAGAGAATCGGTATGAAAGAACCCGAATAGCTTGTTGAATTACATTAGAATTGGAACCAATAATAATAATGCGATCAACATATATAAGAATGTAAAACAACATTCTACTGTGATGACGAATAAAAGGGGAGGAATCAGAGTTGGATTTTTGCACTCCCATTTGGATGAGGAACTGCTTTAACTCAGAATACCAAGCGCGAGGAGCCTGCTTCAGGCCGTAAATTACTTTCTTTAGTTTGCACACATAATGAGGAAAATCAGGATGAGCATACCCAGGAAGTTGGCGCATATAGATATCTTCATTAAGGTGACCTTGAAGAAATGCATTATTCACGTCCAACTGGTGCAAGGGCCAATCATGCTGAACTGCAAGCGATAAAACCAATCGATCAGTAACAGGTTTAACAACTGGGCTGAAGGTAGAGTGATAATCTACACCCAGACGTTGAGTAAAACCTTTTGAAACCAACCGAGCTTTATACCTATCCACACTTCCATCTGGTTTGGTTTTGATACGATAAAGTCATTTGCAGTCAACCACATTGTGTGAAGTGGACGGTGGTACGCTCCCAGGTCAGATTGGTCATTAAGTCATCAAACTCAAGTTTCATAGCTTCTCTCCAGTGTGCACTCTTTTGGGCTTGGTTATAAGTGGTGGAAACGATTGATCAGTATAGGTAATAGTGCAAGATAATCAAATACTTTCTTTGGGGTAGTGATGTTATTCTGAGAACAAGTGATAGGGCGGTGAACAGTGGGTGGCTGGGTAGATGTGATGGTTATGGTAGATGACGGATTGATACTGGAAGATGGGTTAGGAGGTGGGTATTGAACCTGGGTTGGGACTGAATCTACATCAAGTAAAAGAGGTGATGCGGGTGGAATTTGTGCTTGCCGGTTTCGGCATTTATATTGGAGTAGGGGTGGAGATGTATGAGGAGTGGGAATAGAACAACCTGGATCAACAAGGTGTTGCACGGAGGAGT